TTTCCCTTAGGAGGTAGGAGCAGAGCTTGACAGGCTGCTTTATGCAGGCAATTTGTGTACACGCACCTTGAATGCTGTGCTTGTCACCAAAAAGTGCATAAATCCTGCCAGAGTGCTTTCTATGAGCTTTTTGTAGGCAAGGACTCTATTAGTCACATAGCTAAAAAACGATGCCAGAATGGAACTTAATAATACGTGGGAAGACGGCAACGGGTAACTTTTGACCCAGCTCTGGCATAGTTACTCCGAAATTGGTATTGACTTTCTTGGAGATTCCTGTCAGCTGAAGTGCTGGGAGCACGAGCCCGAGCTTCACATCCCTGCGGTGCTAAAGTTCGGTTATGGATACAGCTCTTACTGACGTTTTGCTAAACACAATGGATTAAAGTAGCTTGGCTCATTTCATATTTTATCGATGGAAGTAGAATATCTTTCAAGGAAGCAGTGAGATCATATCAAATCGTAGCTTGGCTCATTTCATATTTTATCGATGCAAGTAGAATAACTTGCAAGGAAGCGGTGAGATCATATCAAATCAGTGCGGAGAGAGAACTGGGTAATTTAATAAATGCGGTGTATTATGTTGCATAACCCGCAGGAACATGCATAATTTCCTTAAACCTATTTGCTTTTTAAATTCCTTCTGAGTACTTTTACCTAAACCTTTTTGATCTTCTCATTATCTGCAGGGAACCTGTTGTACACATTCATTACTCTGTATCTGATTTGTTTTAGATGGACACAAGTAGTTGTAGGGGAAAAATTTGCTGAGGCCAGCCAGTGAATTAGAAGCTGGATTTTGAATTATACTTACTTTTAAAAAATACAAATACTGATCTCTGTTTTGTTTTGATGTTGGACTTTTTAGTGTTGTGAATGTATCGTGAGTATTTTATTTCTGTTTGCCAGGAATAGATTGTGTAGTGTCCAGAGTTAGCAAGGCTCAGAATTGACAAGTATAGATATTTTTAATAAAGAGCTTTCAGTAAGGTCCAAAGCACAGTTTACAGTAGTAGGATGGGAACTGCAGTCCTCCATCTGCTTTTAATAATTTAGAGGGAGGATGATAAGAGTAGTAAAAGAAAGAGAAAGAACACCGTGGTTGCCGATATAGAGAAGTCAAAAATGACGTCTCAACGAGTGCTAATTTCTGTAGATATTCAAGAGCTTTAAAAGCAATGGTTCATCAACATCTTATTGCATAGTTTTAAGCTCATTAATACAAATGACTGAATCCTAAATTTGGCATATGATGTTCACAACAGTTCCTGCGGAATCAGATGTTGCGTAAAGTCTTAGTTCCCCTGTCCCGGTTTCCCTGGTAGCCCGTTCCGCTGGGAAGGGCGGCCGCCGTCTGTCCGTCCGAGCCCGCTCTGCTCCGTGGCCGCGGCAGGGCCGTCGGGCTCCGTACCTGCCCTCCGGCATAATTCACCAGGCAGACTTTTAAAAATGCTAATTAAAACATCCTTGCTGTAATCAGATGGCAGGTGTAAGAGTAGCAACTAAAGAGATTTGATTAGAAGTGGTTCTCAGAAACACGGTAAGCAGCTGATAGCCAGGTAGAAGTGCTGCTTTGTTTATGTAGCATTTATGTAAATTAGGGTGTAATCAAATATATGCTTGCATGTTCCTCACAGGCCTCAATTAACCTTCCTTTTCTATTCCTACCACATCATTTTTTAATGTAAGTAGACTATGACTTGAGTCTTCCGATGAGGACTGTCTGCACCGTGGATTGTTGCAAGTTAGTAATTTATAGCCCTTTCACTAAATGTACATATTTTAGCAATATTTTAAATATTTTAATGCTACTTTTTCAATATGAGCAACCGTCATTCCGAAAGACACAGCATCTTGTCATAAATAATAGTTGGAGACGAGTCAATTAAAATAAAGAAAGTTTTACACAGTGTAAGAGCTAATTCACCCCAGGAAGACGTCTGAGGAGCTCTCTTCGTTGAAGTCCAGTCTATGTGAGGAAGAAAAGTTCTTCCTTCAGTTATCGACATTCAGATGAAGAAAACGTGACCTTGTGGGAAAAAGCACAGCAGACATCTGAGAAGTCATTTCTTCAACATATTAAACTCCATTTCCTTGGAAATACACCAAAGTAATCACTGCAAAAATATCTTCTTCATTTCTGAGCTGCTTAGGATTAGTTTTTCCATCGGAAAAGCCCCATGGAGTTATCATTTCTTTCTTACTGTTGCACTGAGCTGGATCATCTTTGTACTGCTCAAACCCACCGACTCGTAATCTCTGCTGTTGTCCGTAATCCTCCCAAACCTCACGTGATCCTCTCAGAGCCTTTCTGAGCGTTGTGCTGAGATCTGATCCGTCCTCAGCAGTGAAATGCGTTAATTCCCTCCACTGGTATTGATTATCGTATCAATTACGGCACTACGTAGATACCAAACATTTACGTGCCTGAAACCACCCTTTCTGTTAATTATTGGTTAAAATACCTTTTGTTCTGGAATTCCTGAAATGTTTCCAGTTGTGGTGGTTGGGTGGACAGCCAGTTCTGTGGCAGGTTAAAAGCTCTGCTCCTTCGTTAAAACCTCCGTTTGTTCTTATTTTAGGTTGAAATTAGTCCGCTGGAAAATGCCATAGAAACCATGCAGCTGACAAATGATAAGATCAACAATATGGTTCAACAGCATTTAAATGATCCAAATCTGCCCATTAATCCTCTCTCGATGCTGCTGAACGGCATTGTGGATCCTGCGGTCATGGGAGGGTTCGCAAACTATGAGAAGGTAACGTCAACATTGCCTGTCCTGCAGCGCTTCGCCTCTCGAGCCTGGACTCGGTGGGAATGCTGGAGGACGTGTGTGTGTGTGTGCTTGTACGTAGACACTACGTGAGTGGGGTCTCCTACGTGCTTTGTGGAATGCTGCTTAGAACTTGCCTTTCGTCATGTCTTGTGTTTGGAGATACTCAAACCCTGCCTGGACAAGGTCCTGTGCAGCCTGCTGTTGGTGACCCTGCTTCGGCAGGGGGTTGGACGAAATGACCCACAGAGGTCCCTTCCAACCCCGACCATGCTGTGATTCTGTGATTTGTGGATACATTTTTGCCATTCTGCATTGGAAGTGAAACTTGGTATGTTCAGCAGCAAGCGGACTTCGGTAAGGACGTGGTGGACAGTTGCTCACTGGAGTTAGGCACCGAGACTGGTGACATTTCCACCATGTGCTCCCATATGCTGTGGCATTGGAGTGTCAGTGACCAAAGTAACCCATTGCTGTTGTCTCCTTTGCTTGCAAATGCAGGAGTTTTTAAAGGATTATTCAAACGACCGAGACTTCTGAGATACCAGGTGGTTGCAAATATCACAGAATCACACAATGTTCGCTGTTGGCAGGGACCTCTGTGGGTCACCCAGCCCAACCCCCTGCCCAAGCAGGGTCACCCAGAGCAGGCTGCACAGCACCGCATCCAGGCGGGGCCGGAATATCTCCCGAGAAGGCGA